GTGGTAGAGCAGTGGCGTATCAAGCCGAAGATCGTGGGTTTGAATTCCGCTCGTGCCATTGACTTTTTTATTTCAACTAACAACCTTAATTAATTGTATGATATTAATTGGTCAAACGGACCACGCAACTAGGGAATTATTGCATACAAAAATTAGAAGTGACGAAACAATTCTAGAAACGCAAAGTAAAGAGGAAATTCTTTTAAGTTCTTTTTTTAAAGGAGAAAGAAAATACGTTATTTACAACGGGGTGGGGTGGTTTGCCAGTAAGATCTTTACTGATATAGGAAGCCTTGTAAGCACAAAACAAATTGATCACAAGTCTTGGGACATCAGGTCATTATTGATATTTCAATAATTCATTAATATTAAACAATTTATAAACTACAGTGTTAATAAAAAATGAGAAAAATATCATTCAGGTCTTACAAAACCAAATTGATTTATTGCCGGGGTGGCTGATTGACATCAACAAATGCCAAGGCTATGACTTTAATTATTTTATTACATTTATGATCAACTCATTAATAATTCTATAGTAATCAGTTATAAAAATATAAGAGTAATTCAAAATAAACTAAATTAGCATTTTACAAGAATTTTTATTAAATGATCTTCATCTCACTGGCTAGAATAATTCATGTAGAAAATAATCACTGCACTTAAAAAATACGAGTTTTTTATAATAGGCTGTACTTAAAGATCTTGATTTAGTACAGATAATGGTTTAGCATGTTATGACATTCTGTGGTCGTTTGAGTAAATGTAAACACTGTTGTAATTATAAAGTTATTTATTTTTATTTAAAAAATAGCATTATTAAGGCTAATCCGTCTTATTCAAATTTGTGGGTTAATATCAGACATTTCTATGTTAGTTTTTTAAAGTAATAAAGTAAAAATTATTTATTAACATTTACTTGGACGTTCGGGAATTTACATCCATCATGCAGGATTTGATAAGTTTTGGCTGTTCTTACCTTTGAGACAAGCCAGAGTTTATTGAATTTTTGGTTCACATCTATTAAAAAAGAAAAAAAGGGGAAACATACTCTTTTTTGATGGGCTTGTTTAAAACTTTAATTCCTTACTGAAGATGGCGCAATGCCTAGACGCGTTTGAGTAATTTATTCAACAAACCCACGAGTGAAGACGGACCCAATAATTGGCCCTACACCGGTTCGGTATGAGTAGGTAGGTTGTTTCAATATTAGTAGGTAGTAGGTGGTAATAAAACCTTACAAATCAAATATAAAATTTTAACCGAAGGCTGGCCAAAATGACACACAAATTCAAAACTGGTAATGAAAATAACAAATCACAAAAAATCCATCCCCAGCTACAAGTTGTAAATAAGATAAGAAAAGGAGAATGGCTGAAAACCGTTTAGCTGAACTTAAGACAAAAGCGAAACGCGACGAGCGAGACCGGATGGACGTCGAGCCTCCGACCTGCGGACATTGCACACATAACATTTGACATCTGACATTAATTTATGCAAGTGCAACTGGTGATCCGATGACACATATGCTGAGGCGTCGCCGAGGTAACCGGTGTCCGTGACGTCACGGGAGAGGTCGCTAGGTTACCCTCCCCCGCCCCCCGTGTTCAATACTACCCGCCCCCCTGCCGCCCGCGGACAAATCCTACCTTTTTCCTATTAACAAATACACACATACCGGAGGAAATTAATTGCTGGTAATTAGAATGGAACAAGACTAATGTGAAGCTCTTGAAACTTGCAACATAATAGTCACCCCAAGAGCTTATCTCATGAGTCACCTCTTAAATATTACTTTTTACCACGAACATTTTTCTTTATTTCATAAATAAAAGGTACAAACAGCATTCAAAGGTAATCAAAAATCGCGGATTGCAGTCCTTGGGTTCCTTAACATCAACTGCAGTAAAAGTCATTAAAATTATCGTGACACTTTATCGATAAACTAAGGTTTAATAAAAATTTGCAATCCCACAGCTCAGCATTTTTCAGAAGGTGAGAAAGAAACGTGGGAGAGGCAGAGTCTAATACATATGAATAGGACATTCAAATGGAATGGTTTCGACCCAGGAGGAATTACATTTATCAAAATAAATTTTATTAAGTAGCTTATTTAAAAATATATGTACATAGGTAGAAACATCAAAATTTATGGTTAAAAAAACCCTGAAAAATCAAAATGGTCATATTTTATTTTGTGACCAATATCAGGGAATTGGGATTCAGAAAGCAAAGAGAAATAAAAATATATTAAATAATGCTAATAAAATAAATAAATATAAAACAGAGGATTAATAATATTTCAAAACTTCTAAATCTCAGCAATTTCTAAAATAGCATTAAAAAAGAATAACGTAAAAACCTCAAATATGCAATATAATATGTACTAAAAAACCAGAATACCAGAAACATCACCCGACTAACAATTTAACTATTTTTTTTTTGCCTTGTACATAGATATTCTTTGTGAAAGGAAACCGAACAGGAAAAATTCAATTACACAAAAATCATATAACTTACATATTATATAAAAAATAATTATTATTTAGAGATCGTAACATGCGGTCTGGTATGATGTGGGTTTAGAAAAACCTTTTCATTATCGTGTCAACGTTTCGACCTTTATTGAGACCATCTTCAGGGCCTGGGATTTATAAACATTATTTATACAAATACATGTAAGATGTGAAAAGTGTACATCATTTTTACGTCATTTAAATTCATTTTCACATCTTACATGTATTTGTACAATTTAAACAATGTTTATAAATCCCAAGCTCTGAAGATGATTTTAATAAAGATCGAAACGTTAGCACGGTAAAGAAAATGTTTTTCAAAAACCTACGTCACACCAGACCGCATCTCCCGATCTCTAAATAATCATTAATTAAGGTCACTAAATAGTACATATAAAAAAATAATATATTTATATATTTATTAATATATGAATAAGTAATTACGCTACAAAGTTCATGATCTGAATTAAGTTTGACAATGAAGTATATTCATATTATAGTAGTTCAAGTATATTCTCCCTCCTCATCCCTCTCCCAAAGATCCTTCATTTGTTTCATTTAAAATTCTGGCATCTTAATTGTTTTCCAGTTCGGTTTAGAGTGGGAGGAAGGGAGAGAGAGAGAGAGAGAGAGAGAGAGAGAGAGAGAGAGAGAGAGAGAGAGAGAAGTAGGATATATATGCCAACAATCCGAACACTCCTTGCAATATTCCAATAAAATAAGTTCGGCTTACTCAGAGAGTCCTGTATAACTTATCCCCTGTATTTAAAGTTTTAAAGTTGTTATTAACCTGTTCGGGCTTCTAAACATTAGGTTAAAAAAAATTTACTCGTCTCGGAGAATTTGAAAAGTTAGTTAATAAAATCAGTTTGTTGGATGGGTACTCAGCTTCTTTCTATAAGTTATCTTTTTGAAGCCATCATTACAAGTACATTTGTGGTGTATAACAACTCCTCTCCCCATGATACGTATTTTTAAAAAACATTTATTCACATCATATGAGCAACTGCTATTTTGTGAATTTCTGCTTCATCCAATCGCCGGTTGACATGCAACATTTAATATGTAAACAGTCATTACAATTTTGTGCCAAATAAAAGGAACAAACGGACCCTAAAATGAACATTTGACAATGTACAGCCCAAGTTGGTTTTTCACTGAAGAACAATTCGAACACTTTAACGTGCCCGATAACGATGTGTGTTTAATACTTTGAAAAACTCTCTCGTACTGTTTCTACCAATTGAAATCAAATCCGTATTCATAATAACTCCGATATATTTGTTATATTAAGCTGAGAATTGTGGTTTGACTTATTTCATTCCTTCTAACCAAGTAATTCAAAATAATTTGACGTGAAAATTCGTTGTCGGTTAAATTCTGTGTATCTCTCCTAAAGATGATCCTTTTTGGTACGTATGAAACTTACTAGGGATTTCTCACATGATAAACTGCGTTTTTTCGTGTCCCATGTCTCATTGATAAGAGTATGTGTACTCGCTAAGAGCGGGAGGACAAAGCCCCGAGGACAGATACCGAACCCGACAGCACGCAGCCGACGGGATGAAAGGATGAGGAACTACTTTTCTTTCTAAATAATTTCCCCCGACTGTTTCCGCAGTTGGAGGACGTCACCATTTGCACCAGATACCGTGAAGAAGTCCGCTTCCTCGCTAATACAACAATCAACCACCAATCAATATCCATCTTCCTCTCTTTCTTTCTCACTCTTTCACCTACTTTCTCGCTCCTTCATACATTCACTCGCTCACTGTTTATTACTTACCCTCTCACTCTCTCACACTCACCAACATTCAATTACTATCTCTATCCTCCTCTCTCTCAGTCATTAACTTATTGTTTCTCTTCCACTCGCACTACCTTTTACTATTTCTATCGCCTCCTTCCTCTCATTTCGCTTCCTCTCTAACACGCTCCCTCCTCTTTCCTCTCCAAAGAATCCTTCACTTGTTTAATTTAAAATTCTGATTCCTTAATTTTTTTCCAGTTCGGTTTAGAGAGGGAGGGAGGGGAGAGAGAGAAGGAGAGAGAGAGAGAGAGAGAGAGAGAGAGAGAGAGAGAGAGAGAGAGAGCATTTTAACCAAAGTACAAGAACAAATGAGATGTAATGTAAATAACAAAATATTGTTCAAGCCTTGTTCACTGGATAACTACAGGCTCATGGCCCCTCCGAGCTGAAGAAATTTAACCACACAATTTATTCTCAAATTGTTCTCACAGGTTCCCCATCTTTTTGTATGTTGACTGTTTAAAAAAACGGAAATCATCATTTTTAATAAAGACCCTTGTTTAAAAGAATATTAAATGCTGAGCAATTTTAATATTTTTAAATACTAAGTATAAACAAATATTTATGTTTTTAATTTAAAGAATAATTAAAATATTGAATGTTTAATTACAAAACAATGTGATAATCAACAATAAAGATTAATCAGGTTGATAATGTTTTTTAAATACTTGCAGCTTTCGTATGACAAACCAGGTTTAATGAATTTGATTTGTCTAACATCAACTCTGAAAACTCCGAATTGAACACGTTGCCGGTCCTAATCGCTGTGGAAATTGGTTGAAGGCACTGGGAAACTCAGCCTCGGAGAGAAAGGGGTTTGATCACTAGTGTGAGGAGTTAATGAACCAACGGGATAATTACTCGATGAACGCCTACACTTGGCAATGAGGTACCTTTCTGCAAATAAACTGAATCATGGTTTTTTTTGTTGTTGCTCTGGTACAGTGCAATAGCAAAAACAACCTTTCTACATCCGGCCTGTTTAATCAACGAATGATACGTTTAAAAAAAAATTTAATTTGTTTTTTATTAAGAATATGAAATGATTAAATTTATATTTTATTAGAAATATCTTAAAGTATAGTCAGATGTATGAAAAAAAGGACTTTTATCAAACGTACATATTTCATGGACGATAAATTCTTCAATTTGAATGGTTGCCGGTAACACTTTCTCTCTCTCTCTCTCTCTCTCTCTCTCTCTCTCTCTCTCTCTCTCTCTCTCTCTCTCTCTCTCTCTCTAAAACCCCCTTTCTCCTAAATAATGCTTCATTCGTTTCCTTTAAAATTTGGATTTTTTCCAAGAGTACCGAAATTCCCACTAAGGAGAGCTAATTTACACTGAGAAGCAAAAAAGTGGCCACCCCCATATTTTTAAGTAAAAACTTGCAATCTTTATAATGTGTGGTGTTTAGTGACCGTTACTTGATGATTATTTGGAGGTCGTGTGATGCGGTCTAATGTGAGGTAGGTTTTAGAAAAACATTTTTTTTTTTAAAAAGCCTCAAAATGTTCTTAAAAAGTCTCACTCTCTGAATTTTATATATTTTACAAAACCATTTAAAAAAATTTATTTCTAAATTACTTAAAAAAATGAATTTCCTTGTCAACAACTGTCGTTGGTTTTAAGCCGACTGATGCTTATTGCATTTTTTCCACCTTTTACTACTGAACTTTTTTTAAATTTTATTTATTAATTCATTTTTGTTGGTAATTGAAAAGTATTTTTTTAATAGCTTTGTTTTTCACGTAAAATTGAGACATTTTTAATAAGGCGTGGAATTACAGGAAAGCAACCTTTTTTTCACACAAAATTCAGATCAAATTTTGAAAGGCATGTCGGATTTTAAAAAACTCTTTTTTTATGATTATTCGGCTATCGTGAGATGCGGTCGGTGTGACGTAGGTTTTAGAAAAACATTTTCTTTATAGTGCCAACGTTTCGATCTTTATTAAGATCATCTTCAGGCCTGGGATTTATAAAGATTGTTTAAATTTTACAAATACAAGGAGGATGTGAAAAAATGAATTTATACAATGCTAGAAATTTTAGATTTAAAAAAGAATAAAATAAAAAATAAATAAAATGAATTTATACAATGCTAAAAAATTTTAGATTAAAAAAAAGAATTTATACAATGTTAGAAAATTTTATATTCAATCAAATTCACTCAGAGTGTTTGTTTTCTGCGTAATTGTGCCATCCTTGCGTGTCGTGTTGAGAGTGCCAGTGAGATATTGCTGTTTATTGTATAAATTCATTTTATTGATTGATTTATTTATTTTGTATTTTATTTTATTTTTTTAATCTAAAATTTCTTGCATTATATAAATTCATTTTTTCACATGCTACATGTATTTGTAAAATTGAAACAATATTTATAAATCCCAGGCCCGTAGATGATCTCAATAAAGATCGAAACGTTGGCTCGATAAAGAAAATGTTTTTCTAAAACCTACGTCACACCAGACCGCATCTCACGATCTAACAATAATAATCTTTTTTTTAATCTTTGTTGTTTACAGGATATTTTTAAAGAAAAAATATAAGATATAGCTAAATAAAAAAATTAAACTGAGTAAAACAATTTAACCAAAAATGTTGCTATCGAAACAATATTCAATTCAGTATGAAATATTTCCTCCTGTTGCGTTGGACACCGCTTGCATTCGATGTTTGCAATCTATGAGTTTTTGAATTTAGTGCTGAGGAATATTTTCATACTTCTCCAACAACGCCGTTTTTTATTCCTGCAAATTCTATGGCATCACTGGGTGACTTTCTGCCCACTTTGATAACTCCTGGATAAAATGGATTTTATCAGCTCGGTTCTGATTTTTTCCAGACGTCTAATGTCTAATACAATCCCTGGCTATTCGAAATGCGAGTTCCAAAAAGTGATACCAACTTGGGATCGAACAACTGGCTGAAAGATACCTGACGATGGAGCGATTTGGACTAACAATATTTTATTTTAAAGAATTAAAAATCTACGAGAGTCTTGGTGTAAAAAGAAAATAATAAAATTTTAAAACAGACGAATTCACCCACATTACTCCTCTCTACGTAAAAAGATCTTCCCTCCAGTCTACTTAAGTATATTCCCCTCCCAACTGCGGACAAAGTGAGGTACCTCGGACTGTACATCTACAAACGCCTGATGGGGAACCCACACGGAACATCAAGAGGTTATGACACGATACAGGCACGTGCACGTTCTGATATATCTCTCAAAAATAAAGGCTCCTTTACAACACCATATTGAGCCGGTATTGACTTACGGACTGGAAATATGGGGTTCAGCCAAACATTCCAACATCTACTGAACTCAATCTGCCCAATCCTTAATCCTAAAAATACTATATGCTCCATTTTATGTATCAAACCTAACTACACATACCGAATTAAATTTTCATTTCGTTCAAGATGATATACGTTTCCCTACCGAAAATTTCACAAAACCCTCCAAACCAACGTAAATCGGCACATCAGAAACCTTGCATCACGAAGTAGTGTCCGCGTGTCCATATCGAGGAGGCAGCGTTTGAGAACGACATGAAGTACGAACATTATTATAAAGAGTTAATAACAAAAAGTGAACGAACGTAAATAAAGGATTTATAAAATCGATTCACTTTTAGGTAGGTTTTGTATGTAAGCAATGTAAGCATAATATGTAAAACGAATTTTGTAAAAAAATTAACATTTTTAGGAATATGGTGATTTTGTCCTCTCCTAAATCCCACAACATTATATATATATATATATATATTTTTCCCCTTTTTCCTTTTCGCTTGTTACATGTGTTACGTATTTGAAGGTAGTTGTAATGTACTGCAAAAAGTTGAAAAATGAAAATTTAGTACTCCATATTGAGCGGCAATATGGAAAACGTGTTTTTCGGTTTTTGACTGATGTTTCAATGGCCGTTACTAGCATGGACTTTTTTAAATACCTGCATTTAGGCGGTTGAATTATTGTGAGCTGATAAAAGATGTCGTAGAACGAGAAAGTACGGATTTCATTGTCCAGAATCTGGAATCTGTTGTTATGACATCAAACATGGAAATTACTTCCTTCATTCCCTTATTTTATAAGAGAAATAAAACGAGAGAGTGAGAGAGTGAGAGAGAGAGAGAGAGAGAGAGAGAGAGAGAGAGAGAGAGAGAGAGAGAGAGAGAGAGAGAGAGAGAGAGAGAGAGAGAGAGAGAGAGCAAGGCTGGAATGTCCTCCCTCGCCACCTAACAACGTGAGATTTCGAATATTCACGGTTGTTGGAAATTCGTTCAAAGATAATTTCACATTTGTTAGAAACCCGTCAAAAACCGCGTTGAGAGTTCATCGTTCAAAAGTTTCGCGAAGAATGCTTAATAAAATTACTCGGAAGATAGTAAAATATAGAACAACTAAAAACAGTCACATAAAATTTATTTGAGACAACTCTATCGGCTCCTTTTACAGGCAAATAAATCTGTTTTTGTCCTCCATATATATTTTATAGGTGTAAAGTATTTCCTTTTTCCAAATTCTACAAAAAAAAATTTTTGTTGTGGATGTGATGTGTGGATCTATAAAATCCGAATATGTGTCTAGCTAATTCATTACGGTGCTTAGCTAAAGTGGAAATTTAACGAAGAGGAAAAGATCTCGGGTAAGAAAGGACACTGGATAAATATTTGTTACCAGTTTGGTCTTTACGCCTGTTTGCTTTGGTCCCCACGTACGGTCACCAGACATCATCGGGGAACTCCTGTCCAAGCCGTTACACATGTGAATTTCAGTTGTTAACGTTTTATTTATTTATTTATTTTTGTAATAATGTATTAAAGCAAAATAGCAAAGAATTGATACTCTTTAGAAACGATTTCGTATAGTTGTTTTAGATTCAGTCTGGTGAGTAAAGAATAAAATGAATGAGTTTGGATCAGATCGGTTGTTTTTAAATTACTTATTATCAAACATTTTCAATTAAAAATAAATAAATTATTAAGGTAGCAAACAACTTGAAAATCAATGCATAATTTGCATAAAAAATAATGAATCAATTAAAACAATTACTTTGGTTAATAGTACCAACTATTGTATAACATATATATTTGTTTCAAGTATTAAATGTATAAATTAAAATAGAATTGGAAAACAATTTATATGAAGATTCTTCACGGCCAAAAATGAATAAAGACATATGAAGAACCAACAGTTTCTAGTTGGTTTGCCGGTAACGGTTTAGGAGTCACACGGGGCTCATCACTGTAAGGTAAAGGTCCAGGGTTCGAATCCAGTAGCACTGCATTACATATCCAGCATAAAAATTTGTTGGCTCCATTTAAAGTACCTAGTTTTGGGAGAAAGGCTAAGTCCTACACACCATGCCATCAAGATCAGAGAAGTGACGAGATGCGTCTTCTCGAAACTAAGCTCGATCGCGAAATCAAAATGGGGGCTGAGTCCAAGGGCGCTCTCTATCACTTACAAAAGCGTATACCTGCCCATTGCCACGTACGGAGGAGCAGCTTGGGGAACAAAATTGCAAAGCAGGAGTAGAAGCATCCTCGAGCAGAGTCAAAGAATAGTGCTCCTGCGAACGACTAAAGCTTATAGGAAGCCCCTACTCACGCCCTCCAAGTCCTTGCTTCCGCTGCACCAATAGACATTGTCCTCCACAGTAGAATTGCAATCCGGCAGCTAAGAGATGGAAAGGAGCCAACAATGGTAAATTTGGATGGGTCAGATAGGGAAAGGCTACGAACTGCACCTAGAAAGCAGTTCCGGGAGATCCTTACAGTTTGGATAGACAACTTGTGGCAGGAAAGATGGGACAGAAGCACCAAGGGAAGGCTAACCCACGAGTTTCTACCCAGTATTGAAGACCGAGCAAAAGCAAAGTGGTTTCAACCAGATTACTGGAACACACAAATAATGACAGGTCACGGAAATTTCAACGCTTACTTGCACCGATTGATGACAGTGACTTTTTTATCTCAACTAAAAACCTTAATAAAATTAATATTTCAATAAGTAAATAAAAAAGAAACATTTTTGTTTCATGAATCATCAATTATAATTTAAACAATGTATTTGCTATTAAAATTTGCTTTCGAAAGGTCATCGATTCACCGCTATTCATTTTTATAAAGTTGGATGATTATTATATAATTAACAAAACTTTGTAATTAGTATTGGCCACAGTTTAAAACAAAATACGCGTGAAAAACCAAAATAGAAGGAAAATATGGAGGGGCCGGTGATGATCTCAGCTGTTTGTCGGCCCATAAGCCATATTATATTTATACATTAAATGTCATATTTCTTATAATATAATAAAGGCAAATAATCCAGATATCTAAAACAAAAATTGGATTACTAAAACATACAAAAGAAATATGTATATTTTAAATTAATCAAGTAAATTCCTTCTCAGAATAAATCTATATCAATATCGAGGTTGGTCAGGGCAGCGTCCTGGCGCTCACACTATACCACTATACATCACATCGATCCACAACTTTGTGAGAAAAGAAAAGAATAAAATTTAACACGGACAAATCTACCCTTATTACGTCCACTCTCCGTACAATGATCTCCCCTCTAGCCAACTTAAATGTATATAAATATGGCCAAAACAGAGGGTAAATTTAAAAGATTGTAGGTTGAGATGAAGAGTTGGTATCCAAATGGATCGAACTTCCGATTGCTCAAGTGGTTAGAGCACCGGCGTATTGAGCCGAAATCAGTGGGTTCGAATCACGCTCGGGACACTAGCTTTTTAATCTCAACGAAGACCTTAGATAACAAGAATAATTAATTGAAATCATTAAATAATAATCCCCTTCCAACTGCGGATAAAGGTATGGTAGCTCGGACTGTACATCGCAATACGATTTCGTGGAATCCTCATACAACAAATTCAAGTATGAAGTCAACAAGTTATGACACTTCTTGACAAACGTTCTGATTTACCTCTCAAAAATATTACAACACCATAGTTAAATCGTTATGGACTTACGGAGTGGAATTGTGGGGTTCAACCATCTGCCGCATCCAAACTGCACAACCTGTAACCTTACGAAAAATCCTTGATGCTCAATTGTACCTATTAAACGAAATTGCACAATACTGATTTAAATCCATGACGAAATCCTCTCAAGTTTCACAAAACCCTCCCAACCATCGTAAACCAGCACAGCAGAAACCTCGCATTCCGTCTAATAACCCCCGAACCCCTCTTCTCCCACTGTAACGATGGTCGCGAGATTGACTACGAAGTGATAGTGTATTAATTAAACAGACATTTCAGCATCATTGGAGTACCAGATATGGGTATTTTTTCCACTGTTGTCATTAATCGTGTATATCTCATTATTACATGTTACCGAATTGAATGTCATTGTACTTTAAATTAAGAAAAGTCAAAAATTTCAAAATCAACTCCGTACATAAACTAGTAGTATCTAAGTAGAGAATGTACTGCTAAAAAATTTACTTGTTAGAAGTTTCTATGGAAATATATTTTGGCATTATGTATTTTGTATTAAAAAAATAATATTTTTATTTTACAACTGAAGTAAGAGATACTTTTTTCTCAACACATTCATAGATAGTATGTAATTTTTAGGTTTCGTTTGTTATGTTTGAGGGGGGAAAGAAGAATTGCTGCCCATTTCTGTATTCCGAGAAGGTGAGTGTAAATCCAATTGGTTGACCAAATCAAGTTTTCTCTACGATCTCGTTGACGGCGCGAAGAAATAAAATAATACATTTTTATTTGGTGAAGAAGACGGTTTCGTTTTCTTCTATTCCGTTCAGATTTAACAATATAGAATAGTTCATGTGTGGTTCATTAACGTGAAAGACGTGAGAAATGTGCAAATGAACGTATTTAAATTGACTCAATTAAATTAAATAAAGTCAATTAAATAAATTGACTGTCATCCACTGTCAGAAGCATGTTTGATATGTTTTAATTGATCTAGTACAATTCTTTTATTACAAATATGTTTAAAAACGATTTTGATAGCTATTTCTAATAAAGATAATAAGACAAGAGGATTCTAAGTAGACTATTTTTTGGTTTGTGAAAAAAATATTGTTTTTTTTTCTCTCTAAATCTTAGGCTAATTAAGAAAAAGGACAAAATTTCCAATTCTTTTCCTTTTTATAGAAAATTCTTTTCCAAATAAAATTTTCTATAAATGAAAAACCCATTCTTTTGCTAGACTATTTTGCGTTCTTGAAATACATGTTTTTTTCTTTCTTACACAAATTAAGTAAAATGATAAATTGTAACTATTTTCTAAATAAAATTTCCTATAAATGAAAAACACCTTCTTTGGCTAAACTATTTTTGGTTTTTGAAATAAATGCTTTTTGCTAAATCTTAGACTAATTAAGCAAAAGGACAAATTGTATAGTTTTACCAAATAAAATTTTCTATAAATGAAAAACCCATTCTTTTGCTTGACTATTTTTCGTCTTTGAAACAAATGTTTTTTTCTTTCTTACACAAATTAAGTAAAAGGATAAATTGTAACTATTTTCTAAATAAGATTTCCGACAAATGAAAACACAATCTTTTGCTACAAGATTTCTTCCGAATCGTATGTTTTTTCATGAAGTTTAAAAATATTTTTCGGTTTGTGTATATTGGATGTCAATTTTCACAAAAATAAACTACAAGCAATGTATTGCAAACTAATCTTGAATATTCCCATCACAAAAAAAGGTAAACATTCGATATCTGGGTAAAAGTAATAAGCCGCGTAATCAGCAATTAATAGCGCTTTAGAAAAAAAAATCACGCGATAAAGTCATAAAAAGTACGAAATTATTCCAGGCATTCACACAGGATGAAACGTAAAAATATGCCAATCGTAAATGCAAATTTTAAAAAGAGGGTGTTAACTGACATACCATCATTAACTAAAAAGTAGACGGACCTGGGATCACGGATTTTAATGAAACTTTTTTGTTGATAACAGGTTGAAAAATATTAGACATGTGTTCATACGTCCTTGTCTATGAGCCGTGAGAGCTGAAAAAAAAAATATTTTTTTTATTAAATATAGGTTTTTGTCTTTGTTGTTCACGTATTTCAAGTTCATGTATTTTCATTTTTTAGTGGTAACAACAAAAACAAATGTGACATTAGTTTTCTATATGCTAAAAATCCCCTGAATACGAATGTTTCAAACTTAAAAAATAACTCAATTTTTTTTACAATCGTTTGTCTTTTAAATAAATTTGTCTTAGATTTTTCCCCCTCGGAATCATAAAAATGTGATGACTTTGAAACGACTGCACCGATCAACAGGGAACTTTAAAGATGTTTAGCATCCCATAAGGTGCACGTAATGGCATAACCCCTGCCTCTGTAAATAAATTATAATTGGAAATATAAAATAAAATATGAGGGTGTATTTAATGATATCATCTTTTTTTCTTACTTATAACAACATAAAATCTAAACTTTGTTGAGATAGGATGAAACAAATGAATTTTCGCTTTCCAAACCATGTAATAACCATGTAATGTTTTAAGTAGACAAGCGGACATGGGAAAAAAAATCCGCGGGTAATCTAGCCAAAATCAATTTTTGTTAGGGAGATTAACAAGAAACCCAAATCGTGCTTTTAAAAAGCAATATTCTTTCGCCAACTTCACTGAAAGCGTCCTTTTCTTTTTGTAAGTTTCGGTATATTCAATCTTATCTAATATTAAATTCACTAATTTCGTGGTCCGCTTGACCAATGAATATATTACAATTAATTAAGGTTTTTAGTTGAGATAAAAAGTCAATGGCACGAGCGGGATTCGAACCCACGATCTTCGGCTTTATACGCCGCTGCTCTACCACTTGAGCTATCGTGACCTCGATCCACTCGGAAAAGGAGGGAAAATTGAAAAGGTGCGGTTGAGATGGATAGTTGGTGTCCGAGTGGATCGAAGTCACGATGGCTCAAGTGGTAGAGCAGCGGCGTATCAAGCCGAAGATCGTGGGTTCGAATCCCGCTCGTGCCATTGACTTTTTTATCTCAACTAAAAACCTAAATTAATTGTAACTTACCTAATATGATCTTATATATGAATTTCATATCCTACGTATAAATAAAAGATTATTTGGAGATAGACAGGTGTGGTCTGGTGTGACGTAGGTTTTAGAAAAACATTTTCTTTATCGTGCCAAAGTTTCGATCTTTATTGAGATCATCTTCAGGGCTCAAAGAGATTGTTTTCTGCGTAATTGTGCCATTCTTGTGTGTCGTGTTGAGAGTGCCCAAAATGAACCCGACACACAAGAATGACTCTCTACACGGAAAACAAACATTTTGAGCCCTGAATATGATCTCACTAAAGATCGAAACGTTGGTATGATAAAGAAAATAATCATTGGCTAACGGTCACTAAAAACGACACACACACGTATAAATCAAATATTTTAGATTTGCACACCAAAGGCAGAAAGCCATATATAAATAATTAAATTACCTTATTCATATATATTTGTTCTTCTGCAGCACGTTGACAAGAACACTCAACATGTCTAATATTTTTCAACCTAGTATCACTAAAAAAAGGTTTCCATGTAAGAGGAATTTTAACCCCCCCCCCAAAAAAAAAAAAATTTTTTATTTTTAATATATAATGAAAAACAGTATTAGATTTTGCGATTTTGCGGTCAATTTCAGAAAGTTTGGTTTAGAAACACAACTTTATAATTTTAAATATTAGCCTCTATTAGGGTAACATCAATGGAAACGATGGCAATTATTTTTCATCCTGGGGAAACTAGTATTAAAAATTGGACAAGCTTATAACTGTTTTCAATAGCTTCGTTAGATTTTATAGCCCGGAAAGAAAATACTTTATTTCTATTAATTCGATTTGTCTATAAACACAGACCGAGGGATAATCTGCCCAACCACTCCCTCGTCATATTAATCTTAACCCAGTCTCACTCAGTTCGAGGACACTAATGCCTGTTTTTTATTGAACGCTCATTATTTTTTAAAACCGCTTTAAACATCCGCTTTTGTTTAGAGTTCTTTGAGAAGACGAATTTTCACGCAGCAAGATGTCGAAACCGCTGAAAGTAGGAATTTCCTACATATAACCTAGTCTCCTCCTTCCCTTTTCTGCTCACCAAAAGAAATGCTTGGTACGGGTTTCTATTTATTTTATTTTTTACTGTAAAATTGCATTTTATTATAATTTTTTATACATTTTTTAAAATTATCTTTTCCCCTTCTCGAATAAAACCTGTGGTCCTCCGTGTATAATGGTACAGGTTAGTATTAGAAAAATTATCGATGCTTGTGAAAGTTAATCCTATTTAAAAAAAATATGTTTGCCAGATAAGGTTTTTTAATACTTATAAGCAGAATTATATTGTTGCATGAACAACACAGTTGCTTACAGCATAAACAGTGAACAACAATTGAACATCCTCATTTTTTACTTCTACGTTATCTTAATTTCCACGTTGATGTTTATTTACTTTTTAAATTATCAAAAAATTAAACGTACGACGAAAATTGTTTTGAATTCAACGTCTGAACTGTTGTCAGCCGTTGTTTAAATTCGGATAGTGAAAGTCGTCTTTGTCGTCCAAAGCCGTCAGAACAAGATTTAAGCCTTGTTCTTGAGCGGTATTTGACTGGGTTTTTGTTTCGCAACTTTTCTTTTTAGACCAAAGACTGTGCACAGACAAGGAAAACTCAATGTACAAAAGGGCCGACTAATGTTTATTTTTTTGAGAAACAACCTCAGGCTGAAAGTTCGATTATAAAAATTAAATAATTTTGTAACAATCTTTGCGGTTTGTCGTAATTATAGTAAAAGCTCGATATTTTGTATCCAGATATACCATAAGTATGTGCTGCTCACTTGAAATCTCGATGAATTCTACAAAACGATTGCATTCCAGTTCTCTTTGTGTAACGTATTCTTTTCCGCCTTCAAGGTCGACAAAACATCTTATAATTCGTATTTTAACATTGAAATCTGGATTAAATGTATGAGTACAATTTTAGTCGTTTCTCGATAAGGTTGGACCGAGCAACATGGTACGTAGACCACAAGGATCTATTACTCAGTGGTGGATGTTTTCAGTATGTTGTGTTGTTACCCCCGGATGCCACTGACTCAAGATAAACTACATAGCTTCAGTTCATATTGCCGACCGAGCATGGAAAAAAGTAACAACTGATTAAAAAAAAAATACATCAGAATTTTTGCTTTCCTAAAGGAGGATATACCGGACCTGGAAAATGAAATTCAAAGCTCCCATGGCACGCTTATAACGTAAAACGAAAAAAATCTCTGACTTAGTTAATTTCGATGATGACTTTGCAGTTACTGGAAAGCTTAGCGACGATGAAATTTTAAATAAACAGACGACATAGCGATGGAACTGCTATACCATACAGCAATACAGCTAAATATCTGGGAATGACCTTAGATGCTAAGCTGAGATGGAAAGAACACGTGAAGAAAAAAAGGACAGAAATAGGTTTAAGGTATAGACAACTATACTGGTTGATAGGACGTGGCTCCAATCTTGCTATACAAAATAAAATATTATTATATAAACAAGTCATAAAGCCTATGTGGACATATGGTATTCAACTATGGGGTTGTACCAAACACAGCAATATCAAAATCATACAAACACTCCAAAATAAAATCTTACGTAACATGGTCAATGCACCTTGGTACATAAGGAATAAGGACTTACATAGGGATCTTAAGATCCCTGAAGTCACGGCGGAAATACAATGATTTGCTGCCAAACACCAGGCTCGCCTCAGCCAGCACGAGAATGTGGAAGAGACCAAATCTTACATAATCGAAACATGGTCAGAAAAAGAACAAAGCCATATGA